CTCCTACTTAATAGAATAATTAAATATCGTATTTTAAAAATCGCTATTACTTTTTCCTATTTTCTTCATCTCGTATTATTAAACATTAGGGACATATATGTTAGTCTTTAATATCCAAACTTAATAGCTTTCATAAAATTAATTATAAGTTTATTGTGAAATGAGTATTTGATATAGCCTTAATACATATTTTGTAAAATCGTTTCTAAATTATTTTTGTTATATGTTTAATCAAATCATTGATATAGTATTTAATTAAAATACTATTTTAATCTTTTATTTAAATTTTGATAATGTGATTCCTAGGTTTGTGTGTTAGAAAATTGAAGGAAAAACATCCTATCATAAAGTCTGTTTTTAAATCAAAAAATATTATTTGATACACCTAAATTTTTTACATTCATTTGATATTTTCCTCGTTTATTTTTTACTCTCTCATTTATTGAAAAAATATAAAACTTTATACTTTTATAATCATTTTATTCTTGTATTCTGTGTCAAATGAATATAAAAGTGTGTCATAGTAATGTTACTCTTTTAAATCAGTAAATATTAGTGATTGATGTGTTAACTTTTATTAACTAAAATTTCAAAATAAAATCAGCCGTAAATACTTTCTTCTGTCAAAGGTTTTGGAGACTGATGCATGCATTGAGTGTTCAAAACCACACAAAAAAAATATTAATATATTAAAATAAAAATATTGGTGCATATAAAATATAACTTAGTGTGACAAGGTCTATAAGTGTTATAATCACCGATAATTTGACTCTATCAAACATTTTAGGGTTGTGTTTATACGATCGTGGAAGAATAATTAAATAAATGTGAGGTTTAATAAAAGTTCAAAACTAAATGGACACACAAAAGAACGGTGGGGCCCGGTGAGGTTAATAGCCAGAATTTACTGCTTAATTTGTGGTGGTGCAAGACTTAAGAACATAAACAGAAGGGGAATTTTCAAACTGCTTAGGAAGCAACTAAAGCTTGCAGGCAAGTCTAAGATTTAATTTTAAACTTTTTTTCTTATAACAATAACTTTAAATATTTATTATATTTTAAACACATATAGTGTTATTAAAAAATATGATGATATTACAACTTAATTTAAGTATGTAAATTTTTTTAAATATTAAAATCTTATAAGCTTATATTTAATTTTAATTTTTGACGTATATTATAGTTTGATTCGGTTGAATTATTAAACCTTAAACTACTTATCCAATTTTTAAAAATTTATTTTAGAGAGAACATTTTTAAGCAATATTATATTTTCATAGTTGAAGAACTTTGAGGTCTACATATTAAATTTTTTATTTTATATATTAAAACACTGGATAATTGATAATATACACTTTTTTTTTATTGGAGTTGAGTTTGTTCGTTTAGGGTGAATGTCTTAAAAAAAATTATTCCGCGACACTTTCATTGTTATTGAAAAGTAATAAAACTAATTAAAATTCAATATTTATATAAAATACAATTTAATTTAATTTTTATGTTCATAAACCTTCAAAATGAACTTAAAATGATGTTGATGCAAACAAGAATTAGATTTTATTAAAGTCACTTAACAAATATTAGCCCTAACACGCGCATATATATAATCATATGTTTTTATTTATAACTAACAATTAATTATAGACATTGACATATAAATTTATAAAATATTATTACATTATGATTTTATTATTACTGATAATTAATTAAATATTCGTTTACATTTAAAGTTTGTAACAAATAATTGGTAATAGATACAAATATTTTAATATCTATTTATAATATAACGCAAATATCATACTATCCATATTCGTCTATTCATATTCGTAGATATTTATTATTCGTAAAAAATTAAAATTAAAATTTATTAAATATTTTATTAAATTTAATTAATATTTTATTTTTATTTTTAATTTAATTTAAATTTTATTTATAAATTTATAAAATACTTTTTTCTAAATATTTGAATGTATTCACGTATATTATGAGTTTTAAAGCATTTGATGTAACAGAATCAATAAAAAATAATTCTTTTATTACGAGTTCAATAATAAATAAACACTATTTATATCTAATCTGTTGCATTATGATATGATATAAAAATTTATAATTATAAAAATATCTAGATGCATTAAAGGAGTCATATAATAGATCATACAACCTTTAACTTATAATATACTAATATAACATAAAATATAATACTGTAATTTTAAATAATATCTTGAATTATAAGAATAAAAAAATGTATTTTTATTAAAAATATCTAATTTTATTCAGTACTTTAAAATATAATATTCTTAAATATATTCAATTCAATATTCTATTTGAGTAATTCAACCCTATTTACGTTTGACTTTTCTATTGTAATTAATTATAATTAAGAGTTCATTAACAATAAATATTTATTTCTCTGTAAAATACAATTTTGTTTATTAAATCTAATTACATTCAACTTTGTTGACTTAGTATTCAATTAATGGTTAGAAAGCCTTAAAATTTCCAATACAAATGTAGTATTAATTATATTATTTATAAAAGTATTTATTATCATAGTAAAACATTTATTCAAATAGTTTGACTTTTACAAAACAGACCTAGTAGTTAATTATTTTAAAATAATATTTTTCATTATTTTATTTGTTTTCTATTAATAATTATTATAATATATCTGTAACAATTAATTCATTGTTAAAAGCGAACCTCATGTCTCCAATCAATATGTCTCTAATCAATATAATCCAGTATAAACCCCTGCACGGTTTAATAACTTTTTTTATAAAAGAATTAGTTTATTATGTCTTTTTACATGGATATTTCTAATCAATATATTGAACACAAATATAATTTTTAATGTAATTACTAATTACTCTTATACTTGCTTCAAAATTTTAATTTAGACACTGAATTATATTCATATTTTTCAAAAAAATCAATTGATATTTTAAAATATATTTATAATGTAAAGTTTTTTTTCTAAATTTGACATTTTATCGATCAATTTTGAATTTCAATTCTTCTTTCAAAAATTTAATTTTATATTTAATATTCAGTAAGTTAATGGAAGAAGATATACTACACTTATTATTAACTAATTCAATAAGTGTATTATTCTTTACAAATACTACATTCAATATTAAATAGAATTTTCTTATTTAAAAAACACATGAAAATTTAAATGTAAGTCTAAATTTCATAGAAATGAAAAAGTAAAACACCGTATAAAGATGAAGATTAATATATCTCTTGCCTTAATATTTTGGATTGAAATTGGTGACATTGTGATTGAACTCAGATTTTATTGATATTGTATTTCTCTAATGAACATCTTTCCTCAATAAACTTAACAGTAATAGAAATGAAATTGTGAAATGGACTCACTCTTAAAGAGAAGATTGTTGAGAATCCAAGTATAAGAAATAAGAAAATAGAGCAGCGTAAAGACTCATAAATTCATTATTAAAATTTTGAATTAAAAATATTGGACTAAGGTCTAACTGATACTGTGTCTTTCAATAAATCTTTTTCTTCAATAAGGTATATATGATAGAACGAACTGTTAGCATTTGTAACTTTTCGGTCTATTTCGTGGGTCAACAATCAAATAGATTAAATGTTGGGTCAACGTTTAAGTTATTGATATCGGGCCATAATTGGGTCAGCGTTCAGGATATTCTTATTAGACCAATGGTTTGGGCAAATAAATAGTTAATAAATTAATAACAAAATGATAATGATCAAAGATATTGATAACTGATTGCAGATTAAGGAAGTTGTTTACGAATAACCGACCTAATTTAAAGGTAAGCTCGTTTGGACCTATACCAGTTTAGGGTCTATGAAATAACTTATAAATAGAAGACTAAGCCGCAAAGGTAAGCAAGTTGAACTAATTTTGAGTACTCACTTTCTATTAAATATTATCATACAAAGTCACTGACTTGGAGTGCCTTTTGCAGATACCCTCCCCCACTGCTTGGAGGAGGAGAAAGCGAATAATACAACTTGAATAATGGAGGATCATTAGGTCCATCCCGTCTTCATAACAACATAAAATACTTTGAGTAAAAAATCTCACCGAAACAAAACCCAACAACATTAACATTCTAATGTTGTGAAGTTTAGGTTTCAATTAATGGTTATAATACGGTAAAGTATCTTATATAAACATGTTAAAAATTTATATCATATTCAATTAAATTTAGTATATTTAATAAATTGCAATAGTTAATATTAAATAAAAAATATTTATTGATATATTTATAAAAACTTTGGTATATCTAGATACTTATACAGTTCCTCATTACGAAGGGTTATTACACACACCCCAACACTATGGCCCTAGACATACTTAAGTTGGAGAGAATATCTCAACTGTAAGATGTAAGATCTAGATGATTATGTAAGAAAGCTTGATACATCTGAGATTGGTGGGGGAGCTACAGACTAAGGAGTGTTTCATGTGACTAGTATTACGCGTGTCTAGGCCCACAAGAACACAAGTTATTGATATGGAATTTTCTTTTAAAATCAAGTAATAAATATAATTAATGTAAATATTTAATAATTTACTAAATAAAACAACTTAGGAATCATTACTCAATGTAAACATTTTACAAATTCAATATTTTAATTAATGTTTTATTTAGTCATTCACATAAATATACATGTATTTAAGATAAATATTCTTTTCATAATTTAAGATTTAATGTGAGTCTTAAATTTTTAAATTTTATATGTTACGTTAACATATAAAAAATGTTACAATATTTGAGTACTGAAATTGATAAGAACTAAATCCTTTAAAATGTAATTAAAAACAAAAAAAAAAAGGTTTAGTTTTTAGTTTGATAGTTATTTACTTTTCCAGTCATCCGAGATCACTTTGAAATTTGTAGTTTTCTTTAGCTCAACCTTTTCTAACAACCAACCTTCATTACACCATAAATACCTCACAAAAGCCTCAATCTTATTCATCAAACACCTCCCTTTCAATATTAATTTCTGCAAAACTGTGAAGAAATTAATACTATAATCAAACAAAATGGGGTTGTGCATTAAGGTTTGGTTTTGTGTACTGAGTGTGTTGGGGCTGGCAATTATGAGTGATTTTGCCAACGCTCAAGATTCACATAAAGACTATCTGAATGGACACAACCCTGCACGATCAGATGTTGGTGTGAAAAATATAGTTTGGAATGACACAGTTGCTGCTTTTGCGCAAAAATATGCTAATGAACGTAAAGATTGTCAACTGGTTCATTCAGATGGTGGTGGCATCTACGGGGAGAATATTGCAATGAGCACCGGTGACATGAGTGTTGCAGAGGCAGTGAAATTGTGGGTGGATGAGAAACCCTTCTACGACTACACTTCCAACTCTTGTATTGGTGGAGAGTGTCTGCATTACACTCAGGTTGTTTGGAGAAAATCGGTGTATCTTGGATGTGCCAAAGTACGTTGCAACAATGGCGGCACCTTCGTCACTTGCAATTATTCTCCTCCCGGCAACTATATTGGCGAAAGACCATACTGATTTCCTTCATCGTAGCTGCTGCAACAATCATGCATTTCAGATCTATTACATATTAAGACTATAAAGTATAATAAATTTTCATTCTTGTAATGTTTTTCATTCTAGCATAATAATGCTTGTCTTGTGGGTACTTGATGTCTTTTGTTTGCTTGTGTTTTTTCTTTAATTTCTTCTCTTTTAACTTAATTAATGGCATGGTGTGTTTGGAGAAACATATTAATGAAATTATTACAATTTATCTTACTACTGTTGTCTAACTAAAATATTAGTTATTCCAAAATAAACTGAAATTTTAGAATTAACATTTTTTGAAAAAACTAATAATATTATATTCCAAAATATTAGTTATTCACATGCCATTTTACTAATGTTAATAGATAAATGATTATATTCTCTTCCCTGTCTTGTCCACTCATTAGTCAGAGGTAACAAAACAAACCTACTCCTGTACACAATTTCATAAAAGGAAAAGGAGAATTATATAAAAATAAATAAAGAAAATAAAATATTAATCTACTTTATCAAAATTAGATTTATATCTCATAAGAATGTAAAATTCATAATAATAGTAGAAAAAAAAACATACTTCAACAGAGGGTAACACGAGAAATAATTAATTAAGATAACACAGAAAAATATGAGGAGGAACCGAAGAAAATGAACTATAACATGTTAACAACTTTATTTTTACAATATTTTTATAATAGAAAATGTGTTTCTGTTTTATGGATTAATATATTTAAAATGGACCAATCATAAATTATTATAAAAAAATTATTAAAAAAAATTGTTGAAAAAATATTTATCCAAGAAAATAGAACACATGGTACTTGAATGGGTGTTGCTCCCTCCACCACCACACCTTTCTCCCTCCACCTCCCATTTACTATTTTGCCCCTAAGTAAATTTTTTTTAGGGTTATTTTTTAATTTTACCCATTCACAACCTATTCCACTAATAACTTATTCCAGTTCTTCGTATATGAGTAAAATATTTTTCTTTTATTTTAACATTATATTTCTTCCTCTCTTTCTTTTGTCGGTGTGAGATACTACAAGTTGTAAAGGTTGATGGTGGTGGAAAGAATTATCAAGCAGTCTCCCTCTCGTGGTGTAGTGTCGCTCTCGTGGTGCAATGTGTGGAGTGGTGCAGTGCGTGTGTTACTTCCTCAAGGTGCGTATTCGAATAAACCTTCAAATAAAATCCTAAAATAAAAAACGTAACCTTTAAACAGAGGTGACATCCTTCAACGGATGTCAAAATCCTTCAACGGATGTCAAAATCCTTCCAGGGATGTCAAAATCCTTCAACGGATGTCAACATCCTTCAATGGATGTCAACATCCTTCAACGGATGTCAACATCCTTCAACGGATGTCAACATCCGTTCGTTTTTTCCTTAAACGGATGTTGACATCCGTTGAAGGATGTCACCTACGTTTTTAATTTTAGGGTTTGTTTTATTAGTTTATTCTTTATTTTAGAAATATTTTAATAATTTAATTTAAATGTTTTGATTTATTATTTTTGAATATATTTTTAATGTATTTTAATAATGTAAGGAAAATGAAGAAGAAAGAAACAGATGAGGAGAAGTGAAACGAAGAAGACAAATGGAGTTGTAGAGTAAAACTGAAGACAAATTGTTAAACGGAATTGAGAGATGGAAAGATTGAGTGCAGGGAGTAAAGTAGGAGAATTAGGTTTGAAATAAATTAAAATAGTATAAGTAAAAAATTTTAATTTGAGGATATAATTGGAATTAAAAAAAATTGGAGAGGTGGAGGAAGAAAGGTGTGATGGTGGAGGGAGCAACACCCCAAGTAGGTTATGAACGGAAGGCCTCAATCTTATACTCAAGTTATCTTTCTTTGTGTTTAACTTCTTCCGCTTAGGGGTATCAATAAGTATAGATTATGTGATCCGCATGCTCGTAAAAGAAGTGTAAGATATGTTAATTATTTTGGTTCGCTCATTCGCTTATCTCGTATGGTTCGTTGTTCACAAGGGCCAACCCAGGTGAGGGAGATTGGGAGGTATAATCCGTTTGTGTGAATTTTTCTTCAAATATATTTATAAATTATGATTATGATGTGTTCACTTATTAGTTATATCAAATTTTATGTATATTTATTATAAATTAAGTTTACTTTTAAAAAAAATCTTTAATAAGTTCTTAATTCTATTTGATAACTTTAAATTTAGTTTTCATTGTTTAGTTATATATTTAGTATGAAATTTCTAATAAGGTAGTTACACAATTAGAAATTTTTAAATTAAGAAATAGGTTTATAAAATTTATTATTTTTACAAATTTAATCAAATAATGATAAGGTTATTAAAATTTTGCATCTAACTATTTACATACTATAATTTAGAAAGAAAATTATAAAATAAATATTTTTTTATAAGCCGGTCCACGAATTAAATATTATGCAGAATTAATTAAAAAAATTAACTTGTGTTTCTTATGCAGGTAAGTTGACCCGGTTCACTTTTTACAAATAGATCAATATAGAGAAAACATCTTATTATATGAAACTTAAATAAATGGTTTTTTTTCAACTAAAATATTAGGTATTCCTAAAATTAATAATTTAGAATTACCGAATTCTGAAAAAAAAAATCTCCTGCTAAATCCCCTAAGCTTTCTAAAATTATACCCTTTTTTTTATCTTATATCCTTAAGTCTTCCTATATATCTTAATTATGTATTCCCAATGTTATATATAGATTAATTTTATATACTATATCACCATACGTCAAATATTGATTTGTCTCATAATGTACTTGTGGTTTACTATTTGTTTTTCCTCATTGAATTTTCTCACAAAATTAGATATTCATTGAAACATCAAATAGTGCATCTTCAAATTTAATTCAATTTTTGTAGCATGTTTACGACAGTTAGGTTTATTGAATGAATAATAAACTTACACTAATTTGTATGTATGATCAAATATAAAAATCTATTCCATCTTGTATTAGAAAATATGAGGAAATTAATTTGTGGTGGAATAAAAAAGCAGGCAAATTGATTCTGCATGCGTATATCCATTGACCAAGAAAACAAAAAGCAGAAAAATGGTGTTGCACAGATTAACTTTTATTTCCTTCTAAATTCATCAAAACATTTGACCCTCCTTGATTGAAGCTGAGTGACAAAATTAAAGCCAAAAGTTTCCTTTCAAGAGAAGAAAATTATTCAGTCTAAGTTATGTAACATGTTGGTCGTGTTTCTGCACATGTATTTCGTTTTGTGTTGTCACGAGTCATGTTGCATGTTTCTTTGTTGCTCCATTTGATTATGATAGTAATTTTGTATGAAAATTCTGAAGACTTTCTATAAAGAAAATAATAATAATAATAATATTAATATTATGTAGCTAACTAGAGTTTGGTACATGCATGCACCAATTAATACCAACTAGAAGGGATGCATCTTAGAAATCTTCTAACTTTTCTTTCCATTTACCTTCTCTTACACGGCGGTATATCATTATTGTATGCCCATGGTCATGGTCATGGTCATGGTCACCATCACACGTCATAGTCCAGATTATGTCATCCAATAACATTCAAATCACATACATTGTGGAAACAATGACAAATGTAGAAATCTGAGTGATTTTATGGTTATTTTACTTTTCCTAATCTTACAATATGAAATAAACTAATATTCCAATTTTATTTAGACTAAAAATGCGGACTCGACTAATAATACAAAATAGGTACGTATAGACGACAGAAACTTAAGTTGTTACATAATCCTTTTTGTTTTTAGTAAGGGAAAAATCACATTTTAAAAAAAAAATCAGTAATGCAGTTAATTAATTATGAAAAGTTTTGCTGACTCGGTCAAATTTATGTCTCATAAAAAATATGCTAAATTAAATGTAACAAATACTATGGTAAAGAAATTTTAATGAAAATTTCAGTTACATAACCAAAACAAAAGGTAATAGAAAAACTACAGCTACAGTATAAAAAGCTTCGTCCTCCTAACACATGTTTAATGAAAATTGTGGAAGTAGTATATAGACTCAACACCGCTAAAGCAGACACTAATTAAACATTGTTGACTTAATCGGAACCTAATTTCAATTGAGAACGTGTCATACTAAAAAAAACAACCTTTGTGCAAAATCAGTTTCTTTACATTTCTATAGTCAGCTGTATTGTAGGGCTGGACGTCCCTACATACTAAGGAAGAGATGAATGGCCTAACTTAGTAGATTATCTTGACTAAACCAAAATAAGTTAAAGATTCTATACGGATTATTTGTTAACTTAAACATCGAAGTGTCTTTGCCAGATATTTATGATCGGTTGGAGCGGAGACAAAAACAGAGTAAAGATACAGTTATTATATAGTATCGGAGAAGAAATTGTGAAGATGTTTAAAGTTACTTAACCCAATACCTGAAACTGTATGAAATATTAGTGTTTGAAACTTCTTTTTGGATATTTTGGAATGTTTCTGTATAGATTGTGTAGGACTGAGAGACTAACCCTTATAACGTGACTTTCCTACTTTCTTGATTAGGGAAAGATACATGTAAAAGACACTTCCATGCCCAAGTTAGGAACGGTTTAGTGAATTGTTTATCACAATTGAGTATTTTGGATCTAGTAGAACTTACCTGCCTTTTGGCCATGTCCTCATATTTATAAGTGTTTCATGATCTTAAACTAGTGCAGATCTAATAAAATAAACACAGACTTACCTTTAGATTCGTTTAGTTACTAATAAACGATTTATCAATATCTTCAATTAGATATATTTTATTATTTTACCGTCTGCTAGACTGTTGGCCCAATAATAACTTAAACGCTGACCCAATTATGATCCAACATTGTTGATGTTGCGAATGAATCGATCATTGTTGATGTAGCGAATGGACCGATCTGTCGTAGCGGATGGACCGTTTGACATATACTATATACCATACATAAATCATTCTTCGTTTGGTCTATATAATATACCAAAGGATGGATCGA